CAGATGAGATAGTGATGTTTCTCCAAAGACATTGCCACCAAGCTACTAGAGCTTCGTGATGAACTATAACATATCAGGGATAGATATGATGATCCTTGAAGTGTTCGGGATGTTTGACACCGCGAAAGTAGAAGTCAAGTAGGAGCATCAATTGTTGATGGTTGGTAAAACCATTAGTTTCAAGAAGGGCAAGGGCAACAAGGGATACTTCATGAAACGGCAAAACAGTTGCTGCTCTAGTAAAGAAACCCAAGGTTGAACCCAAACCCGAGACTAAGTGCTTCTGTAATGAGAGGAACGGACACTGAAGCGGAACCACCCTAGATACTTGGTAGATGAGAAGGCTGGCAAGGTCGATAGAAGTATATTGGATATACATTATGTTAATGTGTACTTTACTAGTACTCCTAGTAGCACCAGGGTATTAGATACCGGTTCGGTTGCTAAGTGTTAGTAACTCGAAATAAAAGCTACGGAATAAACGGAGACTAGCTAAAGGTGAGCTCACGATATTTGTTGGAAGTGTTTCCAAGTTTGATGTGATCAAACATCGCACGCTCCCTCTACCATCAAGATTAGTATTAAACCAGAATAATTGTCATTTGGTGTTTGCGTTGAGCATAGACATGATTGGATTATGTCTATCGCAGTACGGTTATTCATTTAAGGAGAATAATGGTTACTCTGTTTATTTGAATAATACCTACAATGGTCTTGCACCTAAAATGAATGGTTTATTGAAATCTCGATCGTAGTGATACACATTTTCATGCCAAAAGATATAAGATAGTAATGATAGTACCACCTGCTTGTGGCACTGCCATTTGAGTCATATTGGTATAAAACGCATGAAGAAGCTCCATATTGATGGATCTTTGGACTCACTCGTTTTTGAAAAGTTTGAGACATGCGAACCATGTCTATCGGTGTATACGCATGAAGAAACTCCATGCAGATGGATCGTTTGGACTCACTTGATTTTGAATCACTTGAGATATGCAAATCATACCACATGGGCAAGATGACTGAAAAGCCTCGGTTTCAGTAAGATGGAACAAGATAGCAACTTGTTGGAAGTAACACATTTTGATGTGTGCAGTCCAATGAGTGCTGAGGCATGCAGTGAATATCGTTATGTTCTTACTTCACGGATGATTTAAGTAGATACTGAGTGTATTTACTTGATGAAACACAAGTCTGAATTATTGAATGGTTCAAGTAATTTCAGAGTGAAGTTAAAGATCATTGTGACAAGAGGATAAAATGTCTATGATATGATCATAGAGATGAGTATCTGAGTTACGAGCTTTGGCACGCTATTAAGACATTGTGGAAATTGTTTCACAATTAATACCGCCTGGAACACCATAGTGTGATGGTGTGTCCGAACATCATAGTTGCACCCTATTAGATATGGTGCGTACCATGATGTCTCTTATCGAATTACCACTATCGTTCATGGGTTAGGCATTAGAGACAACCGCACTCACTTTAATAGGGCACCACGTAATTCCGTTGAGACGGCACTGTTTGAACTATGGTTTGGAGAAATCTAAGTTGTCGTTTCTTAAAAGTTTGGGGCTGCGACGCTTATGTGAAAAAGTTTCATCGTGATAAGCTCGAACCCAAAACGGATAAATACATCTTCATAGGACACCCAAAACAGTTGGGTATACCTCCTATCTCAAGATCCGGAAGCAAAAGTAATTGTTTCTAGAAACGGATCCTTTCTCGAGGAAAAATTTCTCTCGAAAGAATTGAGTGGGAGGATGGTGGAGACTTGATGAGGTTATTGAACCATCACTTCAACTAGTGTGCAGCAGGGCACAGGAAGTTGTTCTTGTGGTGCCTACACCAATTGAAGTAGAAGTTTATGATAGTGATCATGAAGTTTCGGATCAAGTCACTACCGTACCTCGTAGGGTGACAAGGATGCGTACTACTTCAGAGTGGTACAGCATTGCAAATCTAAAAGGAAGTGGATTTCAAATCTAAAAACGTTCAGCTTGAGGTAAATTTAATGAGTAATTTGAAGGATACCTAACGTTCATAGAAGATGGGTGAGGGAGATTTGTCATTGGTTTTTTAGGCTCCCGTGATATATTCGGTGTACCCATGTATGGCGTCATCATGATTTCCATCACTGAAAAACAGAAAACCCAATAAATCGTGCGCCTATAATTAAGATGAGTGAGGGACAGTACAGAGGAGCCACCAAGATACCTGATGCGTTCATGTTAGAAAAAAAATACCTTATGTGTCCATTCAGACGCCATTGAAAAGGTCTGCACAATGATGCGGTTGCTATGTGCAAGGGAATGCCCCTCGTCTACTTCTGCCTCGACCTCTCCACCCGCTGTGTTTCCATCACTCTGGCGACGTCGCCAACACGTACTCGTACTCAAGTTCGAGAGCAGCATCCCAGCCTTTAACAGCCATCACACGTTAACAGATCATCCTACTTAGGCACTTACTATCTAACAATTATGCCCCGTCTGTGACTTCGCGTTGCCGAGCTCACGACGTCATCAGCACGGCGAGTCGGCAGAAATTGCTGTTGCGCAGGGCAACCATGGACATGAGCAGGGAGCTCACACGCATGTCAAACAACTCCATCATGACGATGTGGCGAGCAAGCTACCTAGTGGAGTGATGGATGCGGCTTGGACCTGCACCAAGCAGGTTGTGTCTCGTACCTGCATGGGCTGAGCCAGAGGACGCATGGCGTGCACGCAGGTTTGACGCACTGCTAGAATCAATGATCAAGACCAAGGAAAAGCAGGGCCTGAGAAAGATGAGAAGACAGAACACTTGAAGATAGTAGAAACGATGGGGCGTTTGGAAACAGAAGTGGCATGCGGGAGGGAAAAAGGCAGCTGGCCCATGGACCACTCGCATGCCTCGTCGGAGTTAATCCCCCCATCGGTTTGTTTCCACCCGGAGAGAATGTGGTCTTTGATAGTTTGTTCAAGGAAACTTAATTATTAACATGGAAATGATGATGTGGCACACTTAGTGAGGTGGATAGGCTGCATGTCAAGAGAAATGACATAGCTGATGTGGACAGTGTGCATGATGAGAGAATAGGGAGTAGTAGGGAGCAACTTCTTAAGAAAGGTAGATGAGTAAGCAACCTTAATCTGCAAATGGGTATTTTATATTCAGAAATGTTGTGAGAGACCGATGTTTCTTTTTTCCTTTGTGTATATCCACACCGGCTTAGAATCAAGTGCATAAACACTGTAAAATTGGTACCACTACATGCATCACGAGATTTATTACATATTTTAATTATAATAGCCGCACAGTTACAATTGATAGATTTCTTGTCCACTAACACCCAGAGAACATACTGGAAATAGTAAAGGGTAGAAGTCTTTGTGTTAGCCTCAGTTTGTCAGTGGAGTGTGACATGGCTTATTCATCAACATCATCGTGGTAGTAACCTTCTCAGTCTCTACCTTCTTGGTTGAAGTCGAAGTACAAAAGAAAAAAGACCATACTCGATCAGTCATTTGTATACACAGCATGCCCCCCGTGTATATGGAAACACAAGCGCTAGTAATTAAATGCATGCAATCTTGAGAATGAAAAGGCTATTTGTCTGTGTTTAAAGAAGTGGCATATTTCATTGAAATTAGAAGAATAGTATGGATGTATCTTTATATATAACACATGATACTCCACATTATTGTGCTATGGTTTCCCTATCTCACCACTTAGAATATGATAATAAAATTAAGCTCGGTGAGATTTGCACAAACTTGTTAGAAAGAGAGCTGTGGAAACAGAGATGAGATGAAGGAAATCACTCTGGCTTTTTAATCCACAAACTATAATGTAATTAACTATGGTAGGACATCTCACCTTTTATCCATTGGTTGGAGAACAATAAAGTGACAATTAGAGTAGTTCATCACATACTAGATTTTTTTCATCCAAGGGTTTTATACTACTTCCCAATTTATATTTGATCCTTTCATGAGATGAATGGTTTCTCTCTTATTTTTCCTCCTCTCTGAGTAACAATAGATTTTCTGTAAACAATGCAATCAATACAAAAAATCAATAAAAATTACTTGACGATAATCCACACAAAAATACATAGTTTATTGGGAACCCTAGAAATACCTATGTTAAAGTTACTTTCCAGGTAAATCATAACGCTGACATTATAATTGGGCTTATGTTACTTCTTTCTTACAGAACTATGTGGAAACTTGCTCCACTTTGTATTGGGTTTTTAGCCTACTCCAGGTACTTTCAGCCTTTCTTCACCTCATTATTCAACCATGTTGCATGAAAAATTGATTCACAATTATTAGATGATTCCAGTGTTCAAGGATGATTTCATGCCACTAACTAAACTGCATGAATAAAACCATTTTCTATTATAGCTTAAAGACAATTCTCTCCTATTATCCTTTTTGGATATAGGTTCCTTTGATTTGTATTTTTTGACAGACATAATATGATTACCCACGAAATAATAGATACTCCTATTGTTGCCATTGTGTATCATATGAACTAAGATTTGACATACTAGCATCACTTCATCATATTACCATCATCACGTGTTACATTAACATAGCTTCTTTCCTACTGGGTAAGTAAGCAGATCCCAGTGTCGGCTGGAGTGTCCATATACCAAGCAGTAGGTTTGGTGCAGGGAAAAAGGGTGATATCATCAAGGGCAAATACACATACTAGCCTAAAATCCCATCTAGTATTGATATGCTTCTTTGGTTTCACTGCTGGTGTCCTCGGCGGTCTTCTTGGCCTCGGTGGGGGCGTCATCATGGGGCCACTTTTCTTGGAGCTTGGTATTCCTCCGCAGCTTGAATTTTTTATTTGTTCATGTCAAGAACTTATTGCTTCAATCATGTTTTTTCACTTGCAACCATTTGATGGCATTCTATTTATGTTTTATTTTGCTAAGTAGTGCACATCTACTGCATAAGAGTCTAGTAAATAGTGTGGTTGGCAACGATGCAATTGAGATGGACAATTATGATGACGGTGCCATGGATAATGGTGTAGTTGGTAGAAATGCAATTGACAATGGTGCATTTGATAAAGAAGTAGTTGACAAGGGTGTAGTTGACATCGATGAACATGGCAAGGACACTGATGTGGTGGATAATGATGTAATTCATAGCGATGCAGTTGACAATATGTTTCTGTGGCATAATGTTTATCAAATGTATCACTTGTTTACATCATCTCAGTGTTAATTGCAACACGTGCTTATTGCAACTCATGTGGTCATTTTTTTTCCTTTGTTTACTATAGGACTAGTTAAGAAAATAACAAATGTTTGCTATGGAGTCATGCCCTTTACTTTTCATATATTCATCACATATTTGACATGTATGTATTCCTTAAACTGTTGCAGGTCTCAAGTGCCACAGCCACCTTTGCAATGATGTTTTCATCATCCATAGCCGTCATAGAATACTACCTCCTGAACCGGTTCCCTATACCATATGGTATTGTCTCTTTTTTTGTGATCCTCCTAAGGTAACTGTGTATTACTATTAAAAAAAGTGTCTTTTGTGCAGCTCTCTTTTTCACATGTGTGGCATTCATTGCTGCAATCGTTGGCCAGCTTGTTGCAAGGAAACTGATAAACTGGTTAGGAAGGGCATCATTTATCATCTTTGTATTGTCCTTCATGATCTTCATTGGTGTGATTCCTCTAGGTACCGGTTTCTCTCTTATGAATCCCTTCACTACAACCAACCTCGTCACATCGTATCAAGGCCAAAACAACTTTGAATTGCAGGTGGAGTCGGTATCTTAAACATGAAGCACAAGATAGTGCGGCATGAGTACATGGGATTTCATGACATTTGCAAGTTTGATGCATAGGAAGATGCAACTTGCACGCAAGTGACTAGTGTGATGTATGTTCAGTTTGAGTGGATGGAATAGATGCCAAATTAAATCAAAGGGATGGAAGATCAAAAGTTCAGCCACTAGTCCCAACATAGTTTTTTTATCACCCAATGTAATCAATGATTAGATGACGATCGTCCTTTAGTTACTAGAGAATATATATATATATATATATATATATATATATATATATATATATATATATATATATATATCCTACATCCAAACATGCTGATCGTCCTTTCATACTTGACTAACTGAGTACATTCAGACTAAAGAATGACATGTAAAAGGCTTGTCGCACTGCTGCCTCTGACACCTTCATGGCAGGCAAGTAACTCTTTAATGAAGGGTCATCAACATGAGCATGTTTTGATTGATGTGATTTTATCACCTTTTCCCAGTGTTCTTTCCTTAATACTTCAAAATACTTCAAAAAGAAGTGCACATACGCGGTAAAATCCAACAGAGCATATCGTCTAGGCACAAAATAAAAAATAAAACAAAAAATCATCACATAATTTGGACTCATAAACTCCCCCAAGCTTTTAAGCCATGCTCGTCTCCGGACAAATACCGCAGCTTATAAGAACAAGCTCATCTAGATTTTATAAGGTGCGGATACACATAGAGGTATGTGTCCATCACAAATCATGAAAACTCATACTCCCTGTGTACCGGTGCATTAGGCACATTACGAAAATCAAATAATCCCCGAACACTTATGCGTGGTGCATCAACTCCCACCTTGTTTCTTGTTTCTTGACATGAATGAAGGAATCAACCAATAAGAGATGTGAGGCGTGTATCCTTTCAATGACTTGAGACTACCTAGCACGTCATGCAGTGGTCAGTTAATTACATGCAATGGTATTGATCAGCAAATAAATATTAAATTATCTCGTTTTCCCCTTCACCTTGGTCATGGTGCACAACCTAAGAGCAAGTATAATAAGTTACAATCAGGCTATAAGGATTAAACAATTATATTTGTGGTGAGTTGAATGAAAGAGAAGTATAGAGAGAGAGAGAGAGAGAGAGAGAGAAGGGAAGCGGGCTGTAGATTAACATCCGGCTGCAGCAAGGATTCCCAGGAGCATTGTGAGAGTTGTATGATGGACCATACATTAATAAAGTAGTACTACTCCGCAACTAGCTACTATACATGTTGACTATATGTGACATGACAACTCCCTATAGCCGGTTATTGGCTATACTATTAACCATGCTCTAAGATGACTAATGCACCGGTATGGAAGGAGTATAAGGTAAATGATCGTGACGGGCAATAGCGCATTTCCACTATTAGAATGATCATGAAGGCTTACATATTAAGTCATTAGTGAACAAGCTACAACTTCATGCATTAAACCATCTTTTATTTCAACCGCGCAAATAGCAAGGGGTCTTCTACTTTTTATCGAGAATATTCAACATCACTTTTCTGCTCTTTGATTTGAAACAAGTTTATTCACCCATCTCATATTTCTTTTTGTGTGACATGTAGGCTAAACATATGTCTTGTTACAGACTTTACAAAAATCTTTCATTAATTACAAGAAAAATTCCTTTCTCTTGCTACTTCCTCTAATTTATTCAATTAATTTGACTTATGTCTCAACCTTTATATTTAAGCATTTTATTTTATCAGATGGAATTAAAATGGGCTAACATATATAGCTATTTCCTTCTCTAATAAATTAAAACCAAGTTGGTGGGAGACATATATCATCACATATTTGATCATGCTCCATTACTTGCATAAATCATCATCTCATACATTTTTTAACTCAGGCAATGGTACTAAACATCACGATATGTATAGCTTATCGGAAGAGAATCTTCCCTTGTTCGAAAAGGACTTAGAGAGTTCAACCTTATCAAACGAAAAAAGGCGAGTTAATCTCAGCATGCAAACAATAAACACATTACTCCTATAAATAGTGCTAGAGTACCTGCCTCCTGGGGAGGGGGGGAGGGCGAAGAGGGCGAAGAGGCCCTCCGCGCCGTACTTTTCCAGTTGGCGTGCCACGGAGCCTCTCCCCGCTGCCTGATTTGTCTGACCGGCACCCGCACGGGCAACCCACATCCGCAGTCCATGACGGGTGAACCGCGGGTGCGCCCCCGGACCAGTGTCATGGAGCGGCATTGAGCTACCCGTTAATCGCCCTTTCGTGTGTCGCTCCGCACGAGAAGGGGAGGCCGGACTTGTCTGTCGGCGGCATTGGCCCCCGAGGCAAGGCGTTATGCCAAAAAAAGAAAATATATTTTATCATGAATCTAATGCTACTATTTATTTATTTTTTGAGGGGACTAATGCTACTAATTTAATGGCATAAATATTGATGTATTATTGTATAAATATGGTCAAATATAAAAAAAATTGACTTTCTAACAAAGTTAAAAGTGCACTTTTTTTTCAAGGACGGAGGGAGTACGATGAGACGTAAAAGTGTACACGCGTGTTCGCTCTAGGGCCGAAACGGAATTCGCTCGCCACTTGGATAGACGGTTCAGTTACTAAGTTTTATCTTACTTTCTCAGATCAACAGCACCCCACGTCCATAGGGACAAGCACCTCCATCATCATCCGAGTAGGTATTGTACTTTTTTTTTCGATAAAGGCTGGATTTTATTGACTCAAAGTGAAGCATCAAGAGGATATAAACAAATGAGTACACACCCGGCTTTTGCATAGTTAAGATGCACACAGCCAACATCAACGCACGCACACAAAACACGCCGGCAAATAGCGAAGTCATACTAGACCAAAGCTATGCGTAGGCGAGGAAAAAAGAAAAAAGCCCCAAAGCGATCAGATCATGATCGGCAAACTATAACAATGACCATATCTGCACCGACAATCTCATGACACCACGCGGACGACGACGTTCTTCAACATCAACGCCTTAAGGAAGGGAGCGACACTCAAGTGTCACCGTCACCGGATCCAGCCATCCAAGACTAGAATCTAGGTTTTCACCCCGAAGAATCAGTCCGAGCATTCCGAACAATGCCTTCAACAAGGTAACGATGTAAAAACATCGCCATTGTCAGGTATACCCAACACGGGCGAGACCAAGGCTTTCACCCCGGAGCTCTCACCACCATCGAGGTCATTCATGTGTTGTTGCCACCACTTTTCCACGATCCCAGTAGCTACAGGCGATATGCCCGCCGCCACCGCACAACAATCCCTCTGCATCAAGACATCGTAGACGAAGGTATTATTGTTATGGTGTCCGAGTAGGACACGAATCTGAATCCGACTTAGATTCATGCATGGCATCAAACAAATATCTCCGGCCTTTACTGCCGGGCTAGTCGCCTCATCAATCGCCAGCATCTAATCCGCACAATCCGTCGATTACAATCGGATCAACAAGCCTGACGCTCGCGGACCATGATGCCAGCATCCAAGGAAACTTTGCAGCAGCTGCTGAGCGGCTGGTCCATGCTCCCGGACGATCTCCTCCGCCTGGTCCACGCCAAGCTTACCGGCCCCGTCGATGGCGCCCGCTTCGCCGCCGTGTGCACATCGTGGCGCGCCATCGTGCTGACGCTCCCGTCACGTCTCCCATGGCTGATCCTAGACCCAAGCAGCCCCGACAAGGCCAAGCATGTGTACAGCCTCAAAGATGACACCATACTGCCGCCCATTCCGTTTCCGAGTGAGGCCGTCGGCAAGCGCTTCGTCGGCAGCTATGGTGGTGGCTGGGTCGTCCCGACCGATGCCCCGCTTAGGATCGTGAACCTCTTCTCCGGTGCCAAGGTGTTGCTTTCTACACAACAGAAAAAGGCCAGGATCGTGAACCAATTCACCGGTCCAGATCCAGACGGGGCCCCCTCTAGAGTGAGATGGAAGGACCCCCCTACACGGTTGGGAACCAGCAACCAGTTACATCCGTTGAAGATAATCTTCTCCGGGCCTCCCACCTCGAGCAGTTGCATCCTCGCTGCCATCACCGACGAGCGCGACGTCGCCATCTGCGTGCCTGGCCACCCGGAGCGTGAATGGACGAGGCGAAGATACGAGGAGGACGTAGTCTTGGATATCACCTTCTGCAATGGAGATCTCTATTGCCTCTTGGGATACACCAAACAACTTGTTAAGTGTGAGGCGAGATTAACCGAGTTCGGGGTGGCGGCGTTCGGGGCCAACCAATGGCTGGCCATGCCAAACCGCTACATGTTGATGGAGGGAAAATCGGAGCCGCATGCCACATACATTCTTGAGGTAAGGGGAAAACTTGTGATGGCAGTAAGGAGGATCAAGGGGCCGTGGCCAAGGCCGCATAACATCCGCGGGCCTTTTTTCTTGGTGTTTGTGCTCGTTGATGCTGGTACAGATGAAGCGACGACACATCACTCGTATAAGTGGAAAGAGATAAAAAGCCTCGGTGGCCATGCTTTATTCCTAGGCCCAACTTGCGCCAAGGCGATGCACCTATCGACGACAGATGAGCATGGCGATCTTCAAAGAAACTATATCTACTACTCTCACCATAACAGCTACATAGAGAAAAGACGGGGCAATGGTCCTAAAGGCCTCGAGAAGTTCTTTACAAGCTCCAACAATGATCATGTGTACTACAAGGAACATGAAAGCATTGATAACGTCCTTGTGGACGGGATTACATCGGTAGGGTACTACGTGAAGGGTGGTACTCATTCTCCGATGTGGCTTTTGCCTCCAAATCTTTAGCAAAGTTTGTTCTACTCCTAGTTCTCCAATTTTCTTATTTGGTTTTCTTCCTCGATAGTCATGTGACGACAAGAAGTATATATGTCCCAGACCACATATATCCAATCACTTCACGAAACTCTTTGCAGAAATTAATGTAATCCAGCTTGTGCAGGTTTAGACTTTTGTATATTTCCACATTTTTGTGTTTTCTGTTAGAATAATCGGAGGCGCGTAGTCAATATAACGAGGACCAAACAATCACACAAGGTATGACACCGAGATTTGG